AGCCCTTCACAAGCCTTATTGCCCTTCTTTGGACTTGCTCTAGCATCTCAGTGTGTTCTGTACTAAGGTGCACAAAACTGAACACAGTACTCGAGGTGAGGCATCATCAGTGCCAAGTACAGGGGCAGGATATTTCCCTAGTCCTGCTCACCACACCATTCCTGTTACAAGCCAGGATGCCATTGGCCTCCTTGGCCACCTGGGCACACTACTGGCTCATATTCAGCTGACTGTCCATCAGTACACCAAGGTCCCTTTCCATCAGGCAGCTTTCCAGCCACTCCTCCCTGTAGGAGCCTGTAGGGTTGCCTGGGGTTGCTGTGACCAAAATGCAGGACCCTACCCTCGGCCCTATTGAAACTCATACGATTTATGTTGGCCCATTGATGCAGTCTATCCAGGTCCCTCTATAGTGCTCTTCTCCGCTCAGGCAGATCAACACTTCCTCCCAACTTGGTGTCATCTGCAAACTTACTGAGGGTGCACTCAATCCCATCAATAATCAAGATCATTAATAAAGAAGTTAAATAGAAGTAGTTCCAGTACTGAGCCCTGGGGGACACCACTCCTGACTGGCTGCCAACTGGATTTAACTCCATTGACCACAATTCTTTGGGCCCAGCCATCCAGTTTGTGTTTCTCCCAGCAGAGTGTTAGCCCATCCAAACTTTGTGCAGCCAGCTTCTCCACGAGGATGTTGTGGGGAACAGTGTCAAAAGCTTTACTGTCATCCAGGTAGACCACATTATCAGCCTTACCTTCATCCACTAAGCAGGTCACCTTGTCATAGAATGAAATCAAGTTTGTCAAACAGGATCTACCATTGATAAACCCATGCCGATCCTTTGGTTGACCTTTAATTGATCCATGATGGTTCCCGAAAATCAGTGCCCCATTTTTTTTACAATGATAAAGTTAACTCAGAAATGAAGTCAGCTTCTTAGAGATGCATTATGTTCCAATCACAAAGATTCCTAGCTTGTAATCTCTCAGAAACATATTTTGTAACAAAAGTAGCATTCAACCTATCAAGCAATCTGCAGATTTCAAAAGTGACTTCAACTTACAAACTTTTTGCCCAACTTTCTGACACATCTCCAACTATCTCTGCTAACTTGAAATTTGTCAAGATGTTCATTTAAGACTCACATCACCAGTTCTGGACTACATGAGCCTCCTAGACTAAGCTGTGATTCTCCTACTCACTGTTTATACAACAGAACATTTTTATCACTTCTCTGCCAAAGAACAACACGCATACAAATGAGTCAGCAGCAGAAAAGTAAAACTTCTCTTTTGCTCTGTCAAGTAGGAAATAGATCCCCCCCCCCCCCCCCCAAAAAAAAAAAAAAAAAAAAGATCTCCCATTTAATTTCAGGGGAAAAAAAAGTCATGGTCAAATTCAGGAGAATATATCAGGTGAAGATAACAATTTGTTATTCCATTTTCCTCTGCATTGGATTATCCAGACTTCTGGTACTTACCTTAGCATCCTTATACAGGAACCCCTGATTTGCACTGTTAGAAATCCTTTCTGTCCTGATTCTACTGGTCTGACTTTGACAACACTGAATGATCGGAAACTGCCTCTGAGTAGAGCTGTAAGATTGGTATCCCTAGGGCAATGAGTACCACTTCAAAGCAGGCACAGACCTCACCGTTACTTCTGAATGAGAACTTCAGCATCGACTCTCCATTCATTTGAAATACATCCTTAAATTAAGAATGTAGCAGATGTGGCAGACACAAATGCGATTCATCTCAGCTGAGCTCCATGCATGCAGATCAATTAAATGTCAGCTATTAGAATTCACACTGCAGAATATTAACTTCAAGGCACAGTGAATTCTGCTTTGCATATAGTGCTTAGAGAAGAGACAAAGACATCTAGTTCAAATTGAGCCTTAATGAAGCAAAAACTGCTTTTCTGAATGCAAATAAGAGCAAGCCACCTTTTACTTTGGGCAACTTACTATTTCCACGTGAAATGGAGATAAGATGTCCCCTGAGCTAGTTATCCCAGAATTTCAGTTTCTCTTCAGGGTTTTGCTCAGATTTTACAGGAGTCTGAAGACAGCAAGCAGAACTACATCTCTAGCTTAGCTATGGGTCCGCTTGCTACTCTCTGAACCATTGTTGGGATTTAAACAGGAAGAAACAAGCAAATCTATTCTATCCTTAGAGTATCATTAGAATAATAGAATCATTAAGACTGGAAAATATCTCCAGGATCCAAGCATTCACCTACCACCAATACTTCCCCACTAATCGATGTTCCTCAATACAACATCTAAATGATTCCTGAACCCCTCTACCTCCCTGGGCAATCTATTCCAGCAGCTGACCACTCTGTAGGAGAATAATTTTATCCTAATATCCAACCTGCATCTCCCCTGTGCAAACTGAGGCCATTCTCTCTAGTCCTATCACTAGGTATGCAGGAGAATAGGCTGACCATCCACCTCGCCACAACTTCCTTTCAGGTAGTTGTAGAGAGCCTTAAGATGTCCCCTGAGCCTCCTCTTCTCCGGAACTAACAATCCAGTTCCCTCAGCTACTTATAAGATTTGTTCTCCAGACCCCTAACAAGCCTCACTGCTCTTCTCTGAACACACTCCAGGGCCTCAATGTATTTCTTGCAGTGAGGGACCCAAAACTGAACACAGTACTTGAGGTACAGCCTCACCAGAGCTGAGTGAGGGGATACACTATTTCTGATACAAGCCAGGATGCCATTGGCCACCTGTGCACTCTGCTGGCTCATGTTTAGTCAAGCATCGACCAACAGCCTCAGGTTCTTTCTTCCACACAGTCTTCCAGCCACTCTGTCCCAAGCCTGGGGTTGTTGTGGACAAAGTGCCAAAGTGCAGAACCCAGAGCTTCTTGAACTTCATTCCACTGGCCTCAGCCCCATGATCCAGCCTGTCCAGATCCCTCTGAAGGGACTTCCTACCCTCAGGAAGATTGACACTTTCTCCCAAACTTAGTGTCATCTGCAGACTTACTGCAGCTGCACTCGATGCCCTCATTCAGATCATCAATAAAGATACTGAAGAGGACAGGCTCCAGCACCAACCTCTGAGGAACACCACTTGTGACCGGTCACCAGCTGCATTTATCTCCATTCACCACAACTCTCTGGGCCCAGCCCTCCAGTCAATTCTTTACCCAGCAAAGAGTGTACCTGTCCAAGCTACAGGTTGCTAGCTTCCCCAGGAGAATACTGTGGGAGACAGTGTCAAAGGCTCTGCTGAAGTCTAGGTAGACCACACCAACAGCCTTTCCCTCATCCACCAGAAGGGTCATTAATTCACAGAAGGAGATTAAGTTGTTCAACATGCCTTTTATGAACCCATGCTGGCTGAGCCTGATCCTCCCTGCACATGTCATGTGATCTCACTCAAGATGGTCTGTTCCATAAGCTTCCCCAGTACCGAGGTCAGGCTGTAGTTTCCCTGATCCTCCTTGTAGAAGAAAGTCACACTGGTGAGCCTTCAATCCTCTGGGACCTCTCTGCTTGACCAGGAATGCTGTTATATGGTGAAAAGCATCTTGGCCATCACCTCCGCCAACTCCCTCAGCAACCTCAGGTTACCTTCTGGTCACACTCCTTTTAATGCACTTCAGGATCCCAGTGGCCTTCTTGATCACCTAGCCACATTGCTGACGCACTGATAACCTATAGTCCACCAGGACCCCCAGGTCCTTCTCCACAGAGCTCCTCTTCCACAGGTCATTTCACAGTCTGTGCTGACACATGTAGTTACTCCTTCCCAAGTGCAAGACTCCATATTTGCTTTTGTTAGGAAGTTCCACACAAATTTGTGAAGGAATTTCATCACAGTGAGTGTGAGGGAGCACTGGAACAGGTTGTTCAGGGAGGTTTTGGAATCTCCTTCTCTGGAGATACTCAAGATCTGCCTGAGTGCCTACCTCTGCAGCCTGGTCTAGGGAGCCTGCTTTGCAGGGGGGTTGGGCTCAATGATCTCTAGAGGTCCCCTCCAACGCCTACAATTCTGTGATTCTGTTATTCTTGTCCATTTTGAAGACTGGAGTGACACTGGCTATCTCCCAGTCTTGAGGTACCTCTTCTGTTCTCTAAGACCTGTGAAAGATAATAGATAGCAGTTCAGCAGTTACCTCTGCCAGCTCTTTCAGCACGTGTGTATGCATCACATCAAGGCCAATGGCTTTGTGCACACTGATCCCACAGCACCTGTGAGAGACTCACTTTTGAATACTGAGGAGAATTGTCATTATTACATATTTCTTATTAAAGCATATGTGGCAGAAAACATTTTAAAAGAAATTATGTCAGTGTTATACTCCATATTGAAAAAAGATGTCTAATTCCAAATGGGAAACAGACACTCTGATTTCTCTATTATTTTTTTCTCCTAATTAGTCTCAGTATCTGTATGATAATTAAAAAAAAAAAATAAAAAAAAAATTAAAAAAAAGAAGACGAAGAAGAAGAAAGAAAGGAAGAAAAAGAGCATGCATTCCCAAAGGCAGCTAATTAAAAATTCCCTCCACCTCCCTGTCCTTATCCACTATCCCTTTCTCTTTCAGGAGGCAGGGTCTCATGGCGACCATGGCGAAAGAGGCATGGCATCCTCCCCAGCAGCCGCTGCTCACCATAGCAACCGGGACGTCAGCGTCGACCGCCAGCCACCGCAGCCGGCAGAGCGGTGGAGAAGAACCGGGGCACCCAGCGGCCACCCCGTCGGGGCCACGGGGCCGGGGCGGGAGCCGTGCCGCTGTCCGCGGTGCTGACGGGAGAGGCCGCGACGGGGCGGGGGAGGAGGGAATAGCGCGAGTCAGCAGCCAGCCCTGCCACACGTCGTTTTCCCTTAAAGTAGAGGGGCAGAATAACCCACCCCTCCTTCTATTGGATTTGCAAGTGGCCGGGCACAGATGTGAACATACTGCGTGTTCTTCAATATGACTTCACTTGGGATTATAAAAGGAAGAAGGACGAGACCAGGACTTCTGGGATTATGCTTTGGAACAGGTACGTGTATCTATAGGTGCTATGCTGAGCAATGTTGTGGCTAAAGGAATAGCTATCCTTGTAAAGAAAGATGATCTTCTCCAGCGACTTACTTTATGTATATTTTCATGCGTGCTTTTAAAATCCATGGGTTTTAGCAAGGAGAGCTTTATTCAGGGACAGACACTCTGCAAGGCTTGAATGTTGAGGTGATTCTGTTGAAAGCAAAAGGGTGAGTAGAACTACTGCAGAATAAACGTCTTCATTTTCTACATAAATATATGCATCATATGTCAGCATTCAGTATTTTTATATGGGATTTATTTGCTTTCAAACAATCCCCTGACATGGACAGTATGATGAAAGAAAATAACTGAGAAGAAGCAGACTAGTCTGCCCATCTGTTACTCTCAGTTGCCAGATGCATTCATGCAGCTTCTTCTTTCCCCTTGAAATTGCACTATTATAGCCACTTTTGTGTTTTTCTGCCTTTAATTTTTAATTATCCCTTTTGAAAGAATTAAGTCCCTTCTTCTGTTTGGGTGCCTGGATGCATCTTCTTAGGAAAAAAAACACAGGTACAGTAATCTTTTCTTATCTGTACCCAGCAGAGGCAAGAAGACGACTCTGTTTTTGCTAATTCAGGCAGATACTCTCTAAAAATGCATAGCAATATTTTTCATGTATCCAGATGACTTCTAGGATGACAAGCAATATGTTGGTTCCACAGAGAAGTAAAACTGCCTTCTACTTTCAAAAGGCCATTTGTTTGTATGAGGTAGGGTTCCAAGCCAGTTCTTTCTGGCAAGGATCTTCAACAGTGGTTCTCGAAAGGGTTGTCAGTAAATCACTCTTTCAGTGTATAATTACTGGGTTTTGGAATCTTGATTTGTGAGTTTATTTGAAATATACTGAAGTCAGGATGAGACAGTAAGGGAAGAAATTTCTGTACCTTTAATACGTTTGGGGAGCTCTGCTCTTTAGCTCAGAGGGAGAGCTTGCAAACCCTCACACCTCCACAGTACTCCTGTGAAGCCTCTGCTTGTGAAGCTGTGCAGTGCAATTTCATCTGAGTTGCACCACATAATCTCATGTGATTTTTTCCTTCGGCAGTCCCACCAGGCATCTTCTCTCAGGTGTCCAGCAATTCAGTGTGACTCCCAGTCAGAGAAATGTCAACCAGAGAATGCAGGATAAGCCTCAAGCAGAGCCCACTTCCCCTTCCTACCTCAACCTCAGTCTTCTCAGCAACAAAACTTGAAGCAGTATTTGTGTTTTTAAGATTTATCCATTACAGCATCTTCCATCTCTCCCTACTTTCCCTTCAATTGGCAACCAGGACAAGTCTTGCAGCTGGCACCCTGCCCAAGTAAGTGTCTCCAGTGCAGGGACCGCTTCTTCCTCAGTGGCTTAGTCTTCCCTGAGCTCAGCAACGGTTCTTCCAACAACCGTTTCTACACCAGGCATTTCCAACCTAACTGCAGGCTTTGCATGGCCTCCAGTTCCCTCCTGCTTCCTCAGCAAAGTCAGTATGAGAAGGCCATGAAAAGCTCTCACTAAACCATATCCTCTGACAGAGGCCATAGGAGCATCTTCCTACTGATTGTTTGGGACTTCTCCTTTTATTCCTATCACGTAAGTCTTCCTGAAATCATATTCAGATCTCTGGCAGCTCTACCCCTGGCATTATTATTAGACACCATTGCCATCCTACTCTTCTGCTCTACACCTGGCACAAGTGACCCGTGTCACGTGAGCTCTAGATCTGTCTTACTGGAGAAGATACAGGATCATAAAACAGACATTCATTCCAGACATGAAAGTTTGGACCAGTGCATAAATATTGCAACCATATTCACTGCATGAGTGCTGATAAAGCAACTTTTACAACTTAATGTCAAGAAATCATTCCTGTGTGAAATTTTTATGTAGAAGAAGAAAATATATATATTCTCCTAAGTAAATTGTCAGTGTGAGCTGAGCTGCTGTCACCCTCACATATGCTGCTGGCATGTTTTCCATGCGGGGGAGAGGAGGCTTGGTGGGGAGAGGATGAGAATTTCCAGGAGATAGGCAGAAAAATCAGCCAGGCATGAGATTCATCACAGCTCATCTGTCAACACCCACCATGAAAAACTAGTCCTGTAAGCATTGCATTCCTCACATCAAGCACAAGTGTGTGTTGTGCTTTGAACAGGGCCTGGTGTTGCCAAAAATGAGTGTATGAGTGTGGGAGAGTACACCTATTTTTTTTTACCTCTGAATCAGGGAAGGACAGCCTCATTCCCCACTGAAGAAAGCAGAGCCTGCAGAAGAATATTTCAAGCTTTTGTTGCACAACACCAGTAGGTGGAACCTGTTTTGAAAGCAGGGTTGGAAATTAGGTCAGCCCCCCTCCTCCTTGCTCCCAGTCTTCCTGCCCCCCACAGTCACAATGGGCAAAGAGATATGGGTTCTGTCATCGTTTTTCAATCAGTATTCAGCTAAAGTTTTGGCTACTAGCCACAGCAGTAGGAGAGTAGAACAGAGCTTAGAGATTTTTAAGATTCAGTGGATCTTCCTTTTGAGTAAGAAGAATTACACCTAAAACAAAAGACCATAATCTTTTTTTCGTTTGTTTGTCTTGGCACTGTCTTTAAGAGTCTCAGCCAATGTGCAGTACCTTGTAACTTGCACATGTTCTTCAACACTGAATGTTTACCAAACTCATGAGCCTCTGGGCCAAAACTCAGGGCCCAGCTCTGCAGTCAGAGGAGTTGCTTCAGATGTGAAGTTACATCCAGAAGCAACATGTGGACCCAGTTCCTGGCTGGTGAGTTTCTGCGTGGCTCACCAATTACTAAGCCCAGTCAGCCACTTATTTTCCTCACACACATAGCAGAAAAATATTGTTGAGATTCATGCAGTAGCTGAAAACAACATACGGTAGTTATATGCGATGGAAATAACGATTTCCTTTACTTGATTCCATCCCCACTTCCTACTCTCTCACCCTGCAGTATAGGCTAGGCAGCAGATATAAAATACAACAAGCAGACATACAACATAGCAATGTGTGTCAGCTTACACTGTCAGTTCAGTTCAGAAGCTTTTACTGTACACCGGCTTACCCACACCTCCAGGCACACGACCTTTAGCTAACGATGCTGCTGAACAGGATTCTCTACCAGCAGAGGGCAGAAGCAGGGGTGCGGGCAGCGGTATATAAAATATGGGTTTGAATCTCAAAAGATGAATCTCAAAAGTCTTGTTCTCCTAATAGAAGAGAGACAGATGTTTTCTAACCCTGTGTACAGGAATGAAGAGAGTAAGAACACACTCAAGAGATTTCCAGGCTGTGCTCAGAAGAGCAGGTGGAGAACAGGAAAGCCTTCATAACAAGAGCAGGGTGAGGAGCTGAGAGTTTTTATGAATACTAGCACAGAGACAAGAACTGGCAGGGAATCTGCATGCTTTCAAAAGCATGTGCAGCCACATTCCTACCCTGGAAGCACAAGTACTGAATGGCCTCAAGATACACACAGGCATCCCTATGCAGCAAGAGACAGTTACAGGTCAAAAGGCTCTGTGCTATTCTATAAAAGGATTATTGCACTGAGACCCAGCACATGTAGCGTAGTTAATTTGAGTTAAGGCAAGAGTGAATGTCACCTCCTAGCATCTTACACCCAGACAAAAGCACCCCATCCTGATTCAATTTACTCCTGCTTCTCACATTGATTAAACTCCTTTAGATGAAGCATTCCTCTTGCAGTCTGGCAGCTACTCCCAAGAAATTCTTCTGAGAGGGGAGTTCATGGAGTAAAAGACCGGCATAATGTCCTTCAAATAACTCTCTGGGCCTCAGCATGACCAGCATTTTGCAGTGATGATGCAGAGGACTTAAACACACTGGATAAAAAAGCCACTTTGCTATTTACTTAGCTATCTTTTGTTCCTAAAAAAACCAAACAAACAAACAAACAAAAAAAAACTGACTGGGAAAAATATTTATTCTTTTGATTAAGCACTAAAAAAGACCATCTGTTGCATTCCTTTTTGAATCTTTTTAGGTTTTACTGCTCCAAATTGCAATGGAAATGACATTTCTAGACAGGACAGTAAACATGTAGTAACTATGCCATATAGGTTTTATACAACAGCACAGAAGATGTGGCAGTGATTTTATGTCATTCTTGTGGCTCAGGTACTTCTTCTCTGAGTAACAGACCTCTTTTGGAGAGTTAGCATTTCCTTTACTATCAACTCAAAGGCATATCCCTGGAAATGATGCATTTGGGCTTTCACATTACAAAGTAAGTCCATAAGGTAGGACATGCAGCACCAGGAAATCCCTCTTTGATGATAATGAAAATTTCCTTATACCCTATTGATTTCCACATAAATCTACAAAGCTTCAGATTTTAAACAAAAATATAGGAAGTCCTCATATCAATATTAAGAGGATTCTTACTCCAAAATATTTAGAACAAAAGAGTGAGAATTTTGGTAAAGCTACATCGGTGCAGATTCTCAATTAGTAAAAGTGCAATTTAACTCAGATCTATGTTGTTTTTATTTAAATGGAAAAACAAGCAGAAGTATTTTTAAAATAAACAAAAATGTCATTAGGCCTTATGTATTTATGTAATTTTTACTTTTTTGTGTGTCCAATACCTGCTTATTGACAAAGAAGGCAGAGGGGAAAATAAAGAGCTCAGTGCCGTTTTTCATACATGCAAGTTTGACAGTTCATTGACACTTAATTGCATTTTAGTTAGCAAAGCAGCAAAAAGGGGCATGAGAATTGCAGCAGGATATTTCTGAGTGGCAGATACCTTTGCATGTCAAGAAGGGAAATTAAGGAAGAATATAATAGTTCTTTTATATCTGGCTAATAGGCTCCACATGTATTATTCTATTACAGATCATTCCAGCATGCAATTCAGCAGGTTGTGCTGACAGTGCATCCTGCCACTCTGCCAAAGAAAGCACCCTATTACCCTGCAGACTGTTGGCAAAGGCAGGATATCTCCAGGAGAACACTAGATGGAGAGGGGGAAAGGGGTTACTTCAGGAACCAGGACTCTTCTGACAGGAAAATCTACTAAGAAAACATTTAGGTAAGGCAGGTAAGGACGAGGGAGAAGCAGAGGCCAGACTGGGCAGCATGAGAAAGGATGAGGGGCAGGGTATCTCCTGAAGGCTGAGGTCCCTTCCGGACAGCTGACACCCACTTCTTGGACTCTGGATGTCCTCTCCTTGTATCCCCAACTGTTATTTGAAAAGAGGGACTTGCATAACGTTCCTGAAACAACACTGTCAGTTATCAGCCTTAGACCGCTTCAGCTAAACTTAATATGAGATGTTTGCAGTTTAGATGAACACAAAAGCTGCTCAATAAGGCTAGCTTCTCTGGGAGTAGTGTTGGTGACTCACGCACTGACCCACTTTCTGGTTCCCAGCCAGCAGCCAAGCACGTTGTGAGGCTGATGCGGTGGGGCCAAGACTTGGAGAAGACACAGCAGGTTCCTGTCACAGCCCAGCTGTTCTGTGCAGAGTGGCTGCATCTATGCAGATGTGCCATGCACACAATGTTTCGTTAAGATCAGCTGGTGAACACTAAGTCTAAATAGCTCAAGGAAAACATCTTCTGTAATCACATCAAACAATTAGTACATCTTTTCCTCTTCCACATCTGGCTATTTTTTTATTGTGTTTTTATTGTGTGTTTTATTGTGTTCTTCATTTGGTAGCTTTGTGCTTAGAGAAAGTAGTTGGTGTAAAGCCAGATAAAGGCAGAGAAAAAAAACGTCAGAAAAACACTGGATAAAACCTCAGAAAGCAAATCTGCTGATCTGGATCACTTGAAATCTCAAGGAAGACTGTGGTGGTTTTTGACTTTCTCATTTGGCTTCTGGGATGAACTGTTTTTTTGCTAAGAGATTAATCCTGATATATCTGAGTTAGTACAAAGACTCTAGAGCTAAAGACTCACATATTGTAACCACAGGAACAGATCTTCCATTTCTAAAAGAAGAAGGTTTTGCAGTTCACCTTGAATTGGATTGGATGGACATTTTTCAGAGCATCAGGCAAGATGTCCATACATGCACAGTCAGTAATACAACATGTTCTGCCATTTAATGCTTGTGAAGTTTAAGACAATCTATGGGAAACATAGTGATTATTGCTATATTAGAAAATCTTGTAATATATTTCTGACTATTTCTCTGAAATTCACGTATTCAATTTAAAATTATTATTCATTGATTAAAGTAAGTTTTCACAAATACTTATAACATTTTGTCTTCATTCATACAGAGCCCAAGCAGGAGACATGACTGTCATGTTTGACCATAGTACGGACAACAACAATGTTTCTTTTGTTCTCCCTACATTATTGCTTCTGCTGCAGAACAAAAGCTACCCCAAGACCTCCCTTCCTGCAGCTGACCATGAGATGACAGAGTCACCCCAGGAGCCCAGGCCAAGCAAGAACCGCACTGTCTTGCAGTATGAGTTGAAGCCAGGGGAAATTGTATCAGCCAGCATGGTTTTTGGAGTACTGTGGATAATTTCCATCTTTGGAAACTCCCTCGTTTGCTTAGTGATCCACAGGAGCAGGAGGACGCAATCAACCACCAACTATTTTGTTGTCTCCATGGCTTGTGCAGATCTTCTCATCAGTGTTGGAAGTGCACCATTTGTGCTGCTTCAGTTTACAGCAGGCAGGTGGACACTGGGGAATGTGATATGCAAACTGGTAAGGTATATTCAGTATTTCACTCCCGGAGTCCAGATATATGTGCTCCTCTCCATATGTGTGGATCGATTCTACACTATTGTCTACCCACTGAGCTTCAAGGTGTCAAGAGAGAAAGCCAAGAAAATGATTGTAGCAGCTTGGATCTTTGATCTTGCATTTACATCACCCGTTTTCTTTTTCTATGGCTCCAATGAGGATGACCATTGCAACTTTTTTCTCCCAGGTTCTTGGGAAGGAGCCATCTACAGTATTATCCATCTCTTGGTGGTGTTTTTGACCCCATCCATCCTCATTATCCTATTCTACCAAAAGGTCATTAAGTACATTTGGAGAATAGGCACTGATGGCAGGACTGTTAGAAGAACAATGAATATTGTCCCAAGAACGAAAGTGAAAACAATCAAGATGTTCTTAATGTTAAATTTAGTGTTTCTCCTGTCCTGGCTCCCATTTCATGTGATACAACTGTGGCACCCAGAGGAAACAGACTACAGAAAAAGTTCCTTGGTTTTCATGGTTATCACATGGATCTCTTTCAGTTCTTCAGCTTCTAAGCCAACCCTGTACTCAGTGTACAATGCAAACTTCAGAAGAGGGATGAAAGAAACGTTTTGCATGTCCTCCATGAAATGCTACAGAAGCAATGCATACACCATCACCACCAGCTCAAGGATAGCAAAAAAAAATTATGTCGGGATCTCAGAAATCCCAGCACCAGCCAAAACTGTAACCAAAGACTCAATCTATCATTCATTTAACAGAGAAGCAAAAGAAAAAAAGCTTGCCTGGCCTATTCATTCAAATCCTCCAAATACATTTGTCTAATTGGCTTAATATATTTTAATGGTGATTATGTACCATCAGAACAAAAAACTTGATCTCCTTTTTGAACCAATGTAAACACACTTGTTTTTACAACAACTTTTAGAGAGAGAGAGAAAAAAAAAAAGATATTTTATTAAATGCATTGATTTTGATGTATCTAGTCTATATAATTTCAGCTACATTTTTCTTCTGTAAGTATTCTCCCTGAATCACAAGCATATTTGCTTTTTTACAAAAAAAGCAAAGCTCTTGCATTTTCTGTTTGTAGGGATAAAAGGGAGAAAAAATACCACTGCATTTTTAATCACTGTACATTGGCCACCATGTTTAAATATAAAAATACACCCAAAGACATCTCTACAGCCTTTTGTTATGCCCCTAAGAATATTGTTGCACTAGGGTTTTCCTTCTTGTTCAGACCCCATGGCTAAGATTTTTGTATGTGGTAATGCTGGCAAAACACGGAGCTGATTGAATTCAGCTATAAAATTTTCACTGCCTCTCTAGAGTCAGCACTGAGTGCTTTTGCATACTCAGCATTGCACTTCTAGAGAGATCTAGTGGTAGAAGCAGCTTGAGAAAAGTCCTACCCCATGTATTACCCTCCCCAGCTCCTCTCTAGCCGTGTCTACACCCACAGTGTGCCTGATGAGCAGCCACAGCAGAAGAGGAGCAGCATCACCTGATTTGACCTCACCACCAAAAGTCCCCTGGCAATGGCAAAATGCAGTGGGAAGCTCCTAAGTTACTTCCCCAGCGCTCAACAACTGGTTTGGAACCAAAATGCAAAGAACAAAATTCCTAAGCCAGCCTAGGAGGTGCTTGGCTAATTGTGCAGCTTGAGCATCTTGAGCTAAAAAAAAGGGGACACATATACACCGTGGACATGTATACCATGAGTTCATTCATCCTTGATATTTACTTTTGAGGTTTGCTTAATCTGAGATACAGATCCACTCTTCCCATTAGGATTAGGTAACGCCACTCTCAGTTATCTGCTAAGATTTACAAGACTGGATCATTAAATCCACAAGAGAATGAAGAGGGGTGTATTTTTGAAAACCAGTCTGAAATGGGCAGCCTTTACATCATGCTGTTATCAAACCCATTAAGAAGAACTGGAAAGAGCCTGTGTGTTTGATATTGATTTATTTTCCTAATTCCTATTCTACTGCCCAAAACTACAGCAACACACTCAGAAAACATCATAGATAACAAAATAAGGTCAGCACAAACAGCATTTGGTGAATTCCCCGCACTCTGATGGATCAGTGTATCCACTTTACCTCAGCCTGGAAAGTTCCTGTGTTGTCTTATAACATGAACAAGAGATTCTTGCTGGCTTCAGACCAGCAGTCCTGTTATTTCTTTGCCACATCAAAAATTTTCATCCTACTGTTATTTCCAACACAGAAACTGCTTCAGACTAGGCTCTGCTTGGATCATCATAATGTACCAGCTAGGGTACAGCCCAGTATCTTGAAGATCAGATTACCAACATGCATTTCAAAATCAGATCATCCCAAAAGCACTGTGGGTTTTTTGACCTTAGGCGTTCGACTAGGCAGAAGCCTATATATATATAATAACATGCAAACATCAGATATCCCCCTTCACACACCCTATTTCAGAATCTCTATCTTTGAAAGATGCAACCTCAGTCACAAACTCTTCAGAGAATAATTCTTTTTCTTCTGATTTCGGAGCAAATGTAGCACAACCTGAAGCCTGAAAGTCCTGCAGTAACAAAAGATAATAGAACAAGAGCAGTAAGTACTAAGGGTATATTAACCACAGTCATGCATCTCCCCTTCCGATCAGCAGAGAGCAGAAGCGCATGTATTGTTCAACCCTGGGTGACAGAAGTGGCCTGGATGGACTGTAGTGCTGGAATACTGCATAGGGAAACTCCTTTGTTGAGTAATTTTCCTGTATGTATTTTAGACATTTTCCTTCCCCCTACTCTACCACGCTAAGTGTGGCTATAAGAACCCTTACTGCTTGCGGGAACATTTCCTGTATGTGTTTCACAAATTCAGAAATCCCCATTAAATGAAGATTAGACATTTCTCATCAAAGTCATTAGCAAAAATCCCCATGTTCTAGGAGAGGAGAGGGCCTTAAAAATGAGACCATTTTATTCCACGTGGTTCATTTTTCCAGGCAAATTTTTTCTCCCTGAGACAGCAGCATGTGCTGATAAGGAGCAGGGCTCAGATCATTGCCGCCCTGTGTAGGGACTGCTGCCTCAGACTTTCTGCAGTAAAAAAAGGGAGGAAGAGATGAAACCCACCTCTGAGATGCCAAAACCTCCCTTGAGACAAAAAGTCTGGCAGACATCATTTTGAATATGAAACTAGAGGAATGCTTAGGTGTGAAGCCAGAGACTTTCATATAACTGCTCCTCTTCCGAACTTGAACTATTTCCCCACCTTCCAGAAGCTGTAAAGAAGCTAGAGGAGCAGTGATGTGCCTGAACATCAGGTACCCATGCTCACATGGAACCCCTTCCTCTCCCTGTCCCACCAGTCCTGCACATTCTTGCCAACCCTTGTCCTCTTGATGTGCTGGGAGCACCGTGCCCCAGACAAGGCTGCCTCCACACTCCTGGCAGCTCCCATCCTCCTTAGGCAGGGAACACCAGGCCACAGGTAGCTTTGTGCCACTGCCATAGGAGCTAAACATGGCATTGTGCTGTAGCAGGGCTGAAGATGGAAAATACTTGGCAGCTTGATAGATGCTGACTTTGTGCCAGCACAAGAAGAAACCTTTTCCACATCTTATTTTTATATTTTATTTCTATTTTTAAAGCATTATTTTAGAAGAGGTGATGGATTGGCTTGGTAACACCAGACATCATGTATCACTTAGTCTGCCAATGCCCCAGGAGTTCCAGAGACTCAGGAGGGAGATCATGCATTAACCAAACAAGAAATGGAAAATGCACTGAGATTTGATCAATATGTATCTGTCTATCTAGATGTCTATAATCTATACCTAGAAATCTTTCCACACTTCTTCAAAATTCCTTACTACCAACAGCTGCTTTGCTAATAGCATAACAATAAAATTACTAAAGAGTGAGAGAACTTTAAGACTAAACCAAGCCATCCTATTCAGATAAGGGGACCTTCAAGGAATGTTCTTCGATGGGGAAATGGCCAGGTACTGCCACTGGATCTTCATGCTGCTCTGGAGGCAGATGCTCCCATGCTCCATGTGAGACTGGAAGGTCTGGTCAGTGTGCAGACACTTTACCTGTGGGTACCTGTGTGTGCCTTAGCAAATGTGTTCAGTGAGAAGGAGAGGAGCCAGAATACACAGGCTGAAGCCAGCAGAATTTATTGTGCCAAGCTTGACAACTAGCAAACCAAACTGCCTCATTTCACAAATATACCTCAATCATGTCTTCAAAGTAGCAGCTATGGGAGAAAGAAAGGACTTCTGGATCTCTAGCCCATCCAACATTTATTCTTAAGAGTTTTCTGTGCAAGAATATGGCCAGTGCCAACCACTAAACATTTTTTTTCCATTAAGTGGACACCTATCAGGTGAAAATTCTGTCATCACCATTAACTTTTGATATTAATTATGTCATCCTTACAAATCATCAAATTGTGGCCCTCCATTTTATTTCAGGAAAAAGTTTTATTTTCTGTTGAATGCATTTTAAAAATGTGCGGCTTGGGAGTGGGAGGCAGTAAGAAACAGAGGCACATACCACTTGGAACTTTTTCAACCAGCATCCCAGAGGTGATAGCAAAGTGGCGGTTACCCATAATTACACCTGAAAGTATTCATATGTCTGGTTAAGAATCTTCTGTATTCGTCATTCTCCTCACCTCAATCAGCTTCACATCACAGTTAACTGACACTGACTTAGGAGTTGTTTTTCTGAAGTGCCAAATGCATGCCATCAATTGCAGCTGAAATTCTGAGTGCTCAGCCTTTCAGAATATCAGAACCTTTGAGTTCAAACGAAGTAGATTTGAAGTATATTAAATCCAGATCTGTACAGTTAGAGGAAGGGTTATTAGTTCCTTAAGTGATTCTGTAAGTTAATATACCTTTACTAGTTGACTCTTTACAACCTCACAAGTATTATGGAATAGGCCATTATAAATTACAGGAGATTTATTTGAACTGACTTCTAGTAAAACGTAACAAACCTACTGAAAGATTGTTATATAAATGTCACCTTCTGGCAAGCAGTTTGAACTAAAACATGGTTTTATTCTACACTACTGCTAACACACAAGTCTTCTTTCAGTCTTCTCACAAAACTGGCCTCTGGATAAAGTTCAGAGGAGGCACAGACAGCACTAACTCCTTTGCATTCAGAATCTCAGGCATTTTAGACCAGCTCTTGTTTTGGTCCTAAATTTGCAAGGAAAGGGGGAAAAAAGAGAGAAAATAAAGACTACATCACTAAACAATTTCATTTATCCTCACCTCATGCCCAGCCAGACATTAGCCTTACACTGTATGTCTAAGTGTGAGTAAGACAGGAGATATTCTCATTTTCTTTCTTTGGGAAAGTGAGGGGGGATAGTCAGGAAATTTATCTTTCTTAAAGTTTTGTAGAATTCGAAATATTAAGCAGCAGAGGTTGCAAATGAATGGCTCTAAGTATCTACTTTATTTCCACTGACACTACAGCACTGCTCACAGATTTCAGTTCAATTCTGTAGATTAATCATCTCCACTGCAATACATACTATGCAAAGTCCCTCCCCATATTGATCCAAATACAGGAACTACAGCAATTAAGTGATATTCAGAGTTATCAAGACTTCAGATTATTTACAAGTTACCTGTCTATGCAGCAGGAGCAGCATCAAGTTTGCTATCTTGCAACACCACTGGGAGTGGATTTGCTGTGTGGGTTTCTGCAGAATCCAAAACAGCTCTTGACACACCGTTGGACTGGTCTTTCCTACTAACCCAGCGGATCCATCTTTGAATTAAGTATTGGGTTTTTACATTTTTTTCTTGAAGAA